TGGCACATGAAAATACCGTCCGTTAAACGTAAACACTGACGCATTAAGACCCTATTCGCCGGTCTATAGCGGTGTGCCAAATTTGAGTGCAATCGACCCGGCCGTTTTCGAGATCTGGAAGCGACACCCTGCACCTGCGCACGTGCAGCCTAGGTCCCAATTGACTTGTGCACGGCACTCTATTCGCCGGTTTATAGCGATGTACCAAATTTAATCGCATTCAGCCCAGCCGTTTCCAAGATCTGGAAACGACCCTTACACGTGCGCACGTGCAGATGCACCCCAACCGTGGCACATGAAAATACATACTTACTGACTTGTGCACGGCACCCTATTAACCAGTCTCTAGTGGTGTGCCAAATCTAAGCACAATCGGCCCAGCCGTTCTCGAGATCTGGAAGCGTCAGCCTGCACGTGCGCACGTGCAAAATGAATCCCATCTGACTTGTGCACGGCACCCTACTCGCCGATCCCTAACGGTGTGCCAACTTTGATCACAATCGGCCCAGCCGTTCTCGAGATCTGGAAGCGTCACCCTGCACGTGTGCACGTGCAATAGCACCCCAACCGTGAAACATGGAAATGCATTGCCGGATACGTGCCAACATCCATGCCAAGTACCAGCGCAATCGGCAAACTAACTACAGAGTTATTAGATTTGTTACTGAACTGACTTCTCCTCGTTTTGCACGTGGCACGTGCATTAGGGGTCACCCATACGCATCGAGAACAGCACACTACGTGTGAGAAAGGAAGAAGCTATCCCACACAAAAGACCGCGAGTGAATCGGTCCAATGGTTGCAGAGATATAAGGTTTGTAAAGGCGCCCCCACAGACGGCCTACTGCTAATATTTAGCAATAATCAGTGTCACATCCGCACACGGGAGGTATCCCCGTCACCTGTTCGTATCCTCTAATGTGGTTGGGTTCAAGTCACAGTCGAGCCCTGCTTTTTTACAGCTTTTCTTAGAAACGGCACATCGTGCAGTGACGTTCTATACATTGTTGGAAAGAGCATCGAAAGTTGTATATTTTATTAACTTTTCACTTTGATATATCTGCAACGTAAAAAGTTATTAAGCAACAAAGACGCTCCCATTGACTTTCCATGTTAAAAATTTTAATTTTCAAATGAACTTTATAAGAAAAAATGAGTTTTGCCAGCTTAACGAAGCATAATTGCATGTACTATGCTCTTTCCTCTACAAGATATAAGAGTTTGGACGAAATCTATCTCTAAAATTTTGTACAAAGATCGAATGAAAATGTCTCTGCAAAGTCTCGACATCGCCGTCCATTGACTTAACATGGGACACAGCAAAATTCCAACTTTGACCTCGTGCAAAGACACGTTCCGAGATTCTGAGAGGTATACAGCGCACACTGGCGTGTACCCAAACGTGTTTGCCATAAAATGCTGGGAAGAAAACCACCTCTTCCTTGGCTCGTTTTCCCGCCATTCGCGATCGCGCAAAAAGTGTCCAAACCCCCGTTGACTTAACATGGGAAAAATGGAATCGCACGTGCCACGCGCAAAAGACTTCTTAGCGAGTACCGACCGGTGCCATCAGGTAGATCGCCTGCGGGAGCCCATACCCTGGAATTTTTACGAAGATTGAGCGATTCGTTTAGGCCCCTACCAAGTTGCCCCAATTCGCTGCCAGACTTGCAAAACATAGCCCGGAGAACGACCGCTCCGGTTGTTTTTCAATAGAAAAACACAATTCTAACGAATAGTGTTTGTCTTTTCAAACAACCTGCGGTTATACGAAGATTGAGCGATTCGTTTAGGCCCCTACCAAGTTGCCCCAATTCGCTGCCAGACTTGCAAAACATAGCCCGGAGAACGACCGCTCCGGTTGTTTTTCAATAGAAAAACACAATTCTAACGAATAGTGTTTGTCTTTTCAAACAACCTGCGGTTACCCATTGACTTAACATGGGGAGCGAAAAAAGTTCAACTTTGACCTCGTGCAAAGACACGTTACGAAGTTCTGACGTGTATACCGCGCACACTGGCGTGTACCGGAACGTGTTTGCCATAAAATTCTTGGAAGAAAACCACCTCTTCCTTGGCCCGTTTTCCCACCATTGGCGATCGCGCAAAAAGTGTCCAAAACCCCGTTGACTTAACATGGAGAAAATGAAATCGCACGTGCCACGTGCCACGAGGTTTTAAGCGAGTAGCGACCGGTGCCATCAGGTAGATCGCCTGCGGGAGCCCATACCCTGAAATTTTTACGAAGATTGAGCGATTTGTTTAGGCCCCTGTCAAGTTGTACTGATTCGCTGCCAGACTTGCAAAACATAGCCCGGAGAACGACCGCTCCGGTTGTTTTTCAATAGAAAAACACAATTCTAACGAATAGTGTTTGTCTTTTCAAACAACCTGCGGTTACTGATTCGCTGCCAGACTTGCAAAACATAGCCCGGAGAAGGACCGCTCCGGTTGTTTTTCATCTTTTCAAACAACCTGCGGTTAGTACTGATTCGCTGCCAGACTTGCAAAACATAGCCCGGAGAAGGACCGCTCCGGTTGTTTTTCAATAGAAAAACACAATTCTAACGAATAGTGTTTGTCTTTTCAAACAACCTGCGGTTACGCAAAAAGTGTCCAAAACCCCGTTGACTTAACATGGGGAAAATGGAATCGCACGTGTCACGTGCCACGAGGTTTTAAGCGAGTAGCGACCGGTGCCATAAGGTAGATCGCCTCCGGGAGCCCATACACTGAACTTTTTACGAAGATTGTACATTTCGTCTAGGCCCCGCTCAAGATGTCTCGATTCGCGGCCAGACTTGCAAAACATAGCCCGGAGAACGACCGCTCCGGTTGTTTTTCAATAGAAAAACACAATTCTAACGAATAGTGTTTGTCTTTTCAAACAACCTGCGGTTACAGACACCCAATTTTATTACACACCGCCCGCGACGATAAATCTAAAGTTGTGCAAATGTTGGCAAAACTACACTTGAATGGAATTTGTGAGAAATCGGAGATGGCGTCTGAGCTCCGCGACTCACAGTATCGCTAACATCTACAATCATGGCTTTGGTCACGGGACACTGACCAGAGACTAGGGTTTGAGAACGTCACTGCACGGGATACACATATGTAAGCAAGTACAAGTCCCGAGTATTTGGTATCACCTGAAGTTCCGCGCTCAGGGCCGCGGGGCTGCACTACACAATCGGAATGCTGTCCAGTCCAGGGAGACGCTCCGTTGTTAGCGGAGCGCCGCCAGAGTCAACATAAAGTTCTTGAAAAAGGCACACTGTATTTTCACCGCTTGTGAGCACTCGGACACGAAAACCGCACGACCGTCACGCTCCGGCTCGACGGGGATCCGATCGACGGGGCAGGCGGTGCCCCGGCCGACGACGGTGCCGACGGGATCCGATCGACGATGAGCAGGCGATGTGAAGACGGGATCCGATCGACGGGGCAGGCGGTGCCCCGGCCGACGACGGTGCCGACGGGATCCGATCGACGATGAGCAGACGATGTGCAGACGGGATCCGATCGACGGGGCAGGCGGTGCCCCGGCCGACGACGGTGCCGACGGGATCCGATCGACGATGAGCAGGCGATGTGCAGACGGGATCCGATCGACGGGGCAGGCGGTGCCCCGGGATCCGATCGACGATGAGCTGGCGATGTGCAGACGGGATCCGATCGACGGGGCAGGCGGTGCCCCAGCCGACGACGGTGCCGACGGGATCCAATCGACGATGAGCAGGCAATGTGCAGACGGGATCCGATCGACGGGGCAGGCGGTGTCCCAGCCGACGACGGTGCCGACGGGATCCAATCGACGATGGGTAGGCGATGTCCCAGCCGATGACCGGCAGGCGGCACACAGGCCGACGACGGTGCAGACGGGATCCGATCGACGGGGCAGGCGGTGCCCCGGTCGACGACGGTGCCGACGGGATCCGATCGACGATGAGCAGACGATGTGCAGACTGGATCCGATGGACGGGGCAGGCGGTGCCCCGGCCGACGACGGTGCCGACGGGATCCGATCGACGATGAGCAGGCGATGTGCAGACGGGATCCGATCGACGGGGTAGGCGGTGTGCAGACGGGATCCGATGGACGGGGCAGGCGGTGCCCCGGCCGACGACGGTGCCGACGGGATCCGATCGACGATGAGCAGGCGATGTGCAGACGGGATCCGATGGACGGGGCAGGCGGTGCCCCGGCCGACGACGGTGCCGACGGGATCCGATCGACGATGAGCAGGCGATGTGCAGACGGGATCCGATCGACGGGGTAGGCGGTGCCGCGGCCGACGACGGTGCCGACGGGATCCGATCGACGATGAGCAGGCGATGTGCAGACGGGATCCGATCGACGGGGCAGGCGGTGCCGCGGCCGACGACCGGGCAGACGGGCAGACTGTGGATCGGCCGACAACAGGGCAGACGGGATCCAGCCGACGACGGGACGGACAGGATCCGGGTGATGACGAAGGCGACAGGACCCTGCCGACAACGGCGTAGACGGACTAAGCAATGTATATACCACAATGTCTGAATAGTGCCATGTTTGGATAGCTGGATTTGGTCCTAGCCCCGGCTGCGTGTTTATGGAAGTACGGGTAATAAATATGGCAAATTTCCCGAATGCGATTACCGTAACCAGCAAATACAATTGACCTATGAGAATGAGACACACCGGCTAACCTATAATTATCAGCAGCGTACGATCCACACTTTTCGAACACACTCACACAAACACAGGGCTGATCACGCCTAATTCCGTCGTTATTTGGGCCATACAAGTGTCACAGACCGCAAAATATGGTGAAATATTTCAACCATACAAATAAATCAGTTTGCACGCGGTCTAGATGCAGTGATGCACAAAAGTTCGCGCCCTGCAATCGGTACCAGGTACTCACCGGTGCGGCAGATTTGAGCACTCACGCCAAGTAGAGTCGCCAGATTCGGTCGGCACAAGTACTGCTGGTGCAGGTTCGGTCAGCGGGCGAGTCAGGTGCAGTCCGTGTAGAGACGGATACCGGCGGCAGGCACGGTCCACGTCGAGACAGGCACGGTCCGCGTCGAGACGGGCACCGGCGGCAGGCACGGTCCGCGTCGACACAGGCACCGGCGGTAGGCACGGTCGTGTAGAGACGGACTCCGGCGGCAGGCACGGTCCGTGTCGACACAGGCACCGGCGACAGGCACGGCTCACGTCGAGACAGGAACGCTCGAGAAAAGACGGGCACCGGCGGCAGGCACGGTCCGTGTCGAGACGGGCACCGGCGGCAGGCACGGTCCGCGTCGAGACGGGCACCGGCGGCAGGCACGGTCCGCGTCGAGACCGGCACCGGCGGCAGGCACGGTCCGCGTCGAGACAGGCACGGTCGTGTAGAGACGGGCACCGGCGGCAGGCACGGTCCGCGTCGAGACAGGCACCGGCACGGTCGTGTAGAGACGGACTCCGGCGGCAGGCACGGTCCGTGTCGACACAGGCACCGGCGACAGGCACGGCTCACGTCGAGACAGGAACGCTCGAGAAAAGACGGGCACCGGCGGCAGGCACGGTCCGTGTCGAGACTCCGGCGGCAGGCACGGTCCGCGTCGAGACAGGCACCAGCGGCACGGCAGGCACCGACTACAGGCACGGCTGGTGCAGCGCAGAGACAGCCATCACCGGCACCGTGCGGTGCTGATAGTCACTTTGAATTAGTCACTGATAATTGTTACTGAATCACTGGCGCTATCAAAATCGCATAGGACGAGCCCCCAATGTTAGCGGAGCGCCGCCAGAGTCAACATAAAGTTCTTGAAAAAGGCACACTGTATTTTCACCGCTTGTGAGCACTCGGACACGAAAACCGCACGACCGTCACGCTCCGGCTCCGTCCCCGAATGCCCGCCCCCCCGCCGGCCGCCGCAGTCAGCGGTCAGCCGGTGCCCCGCGGCGGTAACCTCCGCAGGGGCGAGGTCAGGCTCCGGCGGAGGGCAGGGCGCCCGCAGGGGCGAGGTCAGGTCAGCCCCGACTCGACTCGGACACCGCAGCGACGCGGTGTAACATAAACGCACATACGGGTACACCGTGAACGAGTGGGTGGGCAGTGGCCTGGGGGTCGGCGTGGTGGGCGGCGTAGTTGGAGGCCGAGTAGTTGTAGTTGGAGGCCGAGTTGTTGTAGTTGGAGGCCGAGTTGTTGTAGTTGTTGTGGTTGTTGTGGTGGTTGTAGTTGTTGTTGTAGACGGAGTTGTAGTTGGCAGCGTTGTCGTGGTGGTGGTCGAGACTGGGCGTTTCTGCGCCCCCGGGTGGAACTTGGACGGCCTGAAGGGATCGGTGGGGGGCCGGCGGGCGGTGGGTCGCCGGTGGAACACCGACGGCCGGGCGGTGGGTCGCCGCCGCGGCCGCTCCGTCTCCAGCTCGGTCTCCGGAGACGGGGTGACGGCCGCCCCCCGCTCGGTCGCCGGCGCCTCGGTGGTGACCTGGTTCGGCCTCGCCGGCGACTCGGTCACCAGGGAGCCGGGCTGGAGCGGCGGGCGCGGCGCCAGCTGGCTCGGTCGGGTCGGCTCCTCGGAGACCTGCGGCGTCACCGGCGACTGGGTGGTGGACGGCTCCGGAGCGTCCGGCACACGGGCGGTGACGACCGCCGCCGGTCCGGCCGGCCTCTCCGTCACGAAGATGACCGGTCTGACCGGCGTCTCCTGGGCGATGACGTTGGAGATGACGGAGGCCTCGGTGGCCAGCTCGTCGGGACTCGACTGGCCCGGGAACAGGACGTGGGCGGACGCGGAGTCGGGTCTGGCCGGGCTGCGGCCGGGGCCCGGCAGTCGGCCGCCGCCCGGCGACTGCCAGCTCCACGGCGTGTCGCAGTCGTCACAGGGGATCCAGGCGCCGCCGCACGCGTTACACGGCCGCACGCCGGGCTCCTGGGACGGGTGCGCGGGCTCCGCAGGGCCGAACACCAACTCCCCTGGAGCGGGGTGATCACCGCCCCAGCGCCACGGCGCGCCGCCGGCAGGGGAGTCGGCACCCTCGGGGCGGACCGCCGGCTGCCGGGGTACACCGACGGGCCCGACCACCGGCCGGCTGTGACCGGACGCCGGAGCCGGGACTGGACCGCCACCCGGCACGACAGCGAGCACGCCCTGCTGTGGGCGCGGCACGTGCATGTGCGTGTGGTGGTGCACATGGTGCACCTCCTGCGGCGCCGCCGGCCGCGGGCTGTGCCGGACCGGTGGCGGTACGTGCGGACCGACCAGGTGTGGTCGCGGCGCCTGGAGCCCGTGAACCACACCGGGCGGGTCCGGTCCACGCCTGGTCGGGCCACCAGCCGCTGCCGTCCTCAACGGCGGCGGGGGGCGCCGCCGGGCCGGGCCCTGGCGCCGGAATGGCCCCTGTGGGTGAGGCAGCCCCTGGCGACGGAGGGGGATCCGCCTCCGCTGCGACCGTCGGGGGTCGTCATCAGAGCTGTCACCCTCGTCCCCTCCGACCAGTCCCTGCAGCCACGCGGGCACGGCGAACAGTCGAGACGTGTCGAGCCCCAGCAGACGGCCCTGTCGGGAGGAGCCGGCGGCCGGGTCGGCATCAGCTGGGACGTCCTGGCCACCTCCGGCCGGCGACACGGTCTCCGCCCGGTCCTCGGCCGCCTCAGAGAGGTCCGTGTCAGCTCCACTTGCCGCCGCAGGGAGGTCCGTGTCAGCTCCACTTGTCGCCACAAGGAGGCCAGTGTCCGCTCGGTCCTCTGTAGCTTCAGGGAGTCCAGAGTCAGCTTCACCTTCCGCTGATGAGAATCCCGAAGGCGGCTTGGACGGCAGGGAGGGTCTGTCCTCAGCAGCTTTGACCGGCTCGTTCGGAATCTGATTTAGTTCGGGTGTTGTAGCTACACGTTTGTCTGTATTCTGACCTTCAGACGGCGTCACTGATGTCGACTCCACTTTCTCCTTTTCCGCACTGCTCTCACTATCGGGCGCGGTCGTTTCCCGATTGTCCTCTGACGCTGCGGCCACTCTCTCTAGCTTCTCAGCCGCCACCGCCGGCGCTGACCAGACGGGGCTGCACAGCGCTGCCGCCAGCAGCACAACGACGAGCCACCGGCGCGACCTCATGACGGCGCTCTCCGCCTCACTGACCACGCGGCCCTGCTCTCGGGAACGCACTGACCCGAGTCGCGCGGCGCGCGTCACCTCGACACGGGCCGGCCCTGAGTCACCGGCCGCGGGCCCACTTTCATTCTCGGGCGGCTCGGCTGGGTCCGGGAGAGGCTGCGACCGCCCGCCGCCGTGGGAGGAGATTGTGTCAGCCGCCGCCGGAACCGGATGTGACCGGTGTGGTGGGCCCATCGCCGGCGCAGCAGTAATGGGACGCGCGCGGACGCAACTGCGAGAGCTTCCGGCGCCGGCAGGTCCGATTAGTCATTGCCAAATGTGATGGGCACCCGATGAAAAGTGGCGAAACTGACCAGCTGATTGGCCCGATGGGTGATCCTTGGTGTGCACCTGCGTAGCCTTGCAAAACTCGCGAATCTGCCGAGATCCCTTGCTAACGGCACCGCTGCCTATTGTTCGACCTGCACTGCATGAACTGATGCGATTATCGAAGGAGGACGAGACAACAAGGGATGCTTAGGACGGGACGCAGTTAGTCTTGAGGCCGAGGGCAGAGGTAAATGTCGACAATTGTCAGCACTCAGCTCTTCCCCCTCGTCCAATCTATAACTTTTTATTTGCTCTTTTCGCTCTATCATATGATATCCAAAACGCTAACGTTCGATATTTTGATTCGCACACAATGGTTTTTGATGTTTCGTCTAGATTCATCGGAAATTATGGCTCACACGTTCCGCCGAATAACACAACCAGTAAAACGCCTTTTGGGCGTACCTAGAACGAGCGAGCGAGATAGTGAGCCCTGCACGTGCGGAAGGGCGAGAGGGTACTTCCAACGGGCACCCTTCTAACCGGTCGCTAGCGGTGTACCAAATTTGAACGCAATCGGCCCAGCCGTTCCTGAGATCTGGAAGCGGCATTCTGCACGTGCGCACGTGCAAACGGGGTCCAAACTGACTTTTGCACGGCCCCCTACTAACCGGTCTCCAACCGTGTACCAAATTTGAGCGCAATCGGCCCAGCCGTTCTCGAGATCTGGAAGCGCCCCCTGCATGTGCGCACGTGCAGTAGCACCTTAACCGCAACACATGGGAATGCATTGCCTGGTGGGTGCCTACCTGTATGCCAAGTTTTAGCGAAATCGCCCCAGTAATTACCGAGTTATAGAAATGGGAACAAATTTGACACCTCTTATTGTTGTATTTTGCACGTGCACTGGGGGTGACCCACATGCATCGAGAGTATCCAATTTTTGGTAGAAAGGATGCAGCTACCTTATAAAAATTACCGCAAGTCAATCGCCCAAGCGGCTGCTGAGATATGAGCCTCTCAAAATCACTACTTTTGCAAAACAGCTTGAACACCCTTGACTTTTCACGTGGCAGTTGGCACGTGCCACGACGGCCACTGAGATGCATCAAAAGTAGTCAATTACGGGATAGAAGGGATGGGGCTACCCAGCAAAAAAGACCGCAGGCGCAGGCCAATCGGTCCAGCGGTTGCTGAGATATAAGCCTCTCAAAAGCGTTACAGGCCGGGCCGGGTCGCTCATACTGAGATTTTTCCGTTATATTGAAAAGACTCGCTTCGCTCGCTGCGCTCGCTCGCTCGTAATTACCAGACTCTTGAGACCGGATTCGAGTCCACTGTTCAGTGTGATAAACTTGGCCTGCGAGGGCGAAGTCAGCGTATCCCAGTCAGTCTGTTGCTGAGTTGACGGCTTACTGCTGTCCATCCGTAAAGAAGCAGCTATAGGTATTTACGTGTGTTTTGAGGCAGTGGCGCCAGGCGCCGTGCGCGGTAACTACTCTCAGACTGCAGGGGGGAAAGGGGCATACCGATCACCGTAATAGAGATCAACCTAGTTTCTCACAGGTTTTAGGCTACTTATTTTTCATCCCTTGACCTTTTCAACTGTTGTATATTTATGTTGTTGCATGTGCAGGCTGTGGCATGGTGTTGCATGTGCTTTGCATGGTTTATGAGCCTAATGCTTGGTTCCCTGTTTTCCAGCAATGTTGTGAATAAAAGCCTTCATTGAGGTTCATCGTTCATTACAATTTTATTCACAACATAACCGCATGCTGCATGACTCTGGCAAATCAAGATGGACAAGTATCTCAAGCCCCCAGAACTCAACATTGATCCCAAATCGCCATCTGCTGAAGATGAGTGGGATATGTGGATTACAAAGTTTGGGGATTTCTTCAACTCCATCGATCCGGCCCTAAATCCCAACAAGCTCACGCTTCTTCGCGCTCACATGTCATGTGCATGCTATAAGCTGATCAAGGCGGCCACTACCTTTGATGAGGCTGTCGAGATGCTGGAAGCAAGGTTCGTGAAACCCCACAGTGAGGTCTATGCTCGCCACAGGCTCGCTTCTCGGCGACAGCAGGCTGGGGAATCACTTGACACTTATCTCGAGGAACTGGGGCTCCTGGCATCTCAATGCAAGTTTGAAGCAGCTACAGCTGAAAAAGTAAAGGAGGATGCCATACGTGATGCCTTCATCAATGGCCTGTCATCCAGTGCTATTCGACAGCGTCTTCTGGAGAACCTTCAGCTTGATCTGAAAACAGCTGTTTCTCAGGCTCGTGCTCTGGAGATGGCCCAGCAGCAATCTGAAATGTATCATAGAAACAGCAGTGATTCGTCACCAGTGACAGTGACAGCCCATGCTCAGTCTGATCCTTCTTCTGCGGAGGAGACAGTGCCATCCGCTCGAGGAGGAGAGGAAGTGACTGCAGCAGTTGAACGTACCTGCTTCTTCTGTGGTGGTCCACATCATGCTCGAAACAAGTGTCGTGCACGCAATGCTACCTGTTCAAGCTGTGGTAGGCAGGGGCATTTTGCCTCAGTCTGCCAGATGGGGAGATGGTCCAGAAGAGCACAACCGACCAAGGACCGGAGACAAACCACAGCTTCTATGCCGATACTGTCAGCAATGCATGAAACCTCTCTTCCGAGTCTACGGTCTGCTATGACACGTGTCACAATCAATGGTCAAGAGTTCGAAGCGCTGATCGACACTGGTAGCTCTCAGAGTTTCATCCGTACCCGGGTCGCAGAGGACGTTCACCTGAACATCGAACCCGCACATGGTACTGTGTGCATGGCCTCCACACAGCATCATGTCAAGGTGGCGGGGCAGTGTAGGGTGAGACTACGGGTTCAAGATGAATCATATGATGACTACCTGTTCTCTGTCATGGACGATCTGTGTGCACCTGTGCTACTCGGTCATGACTTTCTCAAGGCACACGAAAGCGTGTCCCTGACGTTCGGTGGCTCTCGATCCTCGCTCAGCCTGTGCTGTCTGACTCCCGCAGTGGTAACGCCACCATCCTTGTTCGGTAACTTGACGGAGGACTGTCACCCTATCCAGGCCAAGTCACGCCGCTACAGCGCCTCCGAAGTGAAGTTCATCGAGGGTGAGGTCGATCGTCTCCTAAAGGAAGGCATCATCTCTCCCAGCACCAGCCCATGGCGTGCTCAAGTTCTTGTGGTTGCATCTCCTAGCGGGAAACGTCGGATGGTTGTGGACTACGCCCAGACCATCAATCGCTTCACGGAGCTGAATGCTTACCCGCTGCCAAGAATCAACGAACAGGTTGAAAAGATCGCTCAATACTCCTATTTTAGCACGATAGACCTGACCAGTGCCTATCACCAGATCCCCATCGATCCTGAAGATCGCAAGTACACAGCTTTCGAAGCTGATGGAAGACTCTTCGAATTCCTTCGTATCCCGTTCGGGGTCACTAATGGGGTCGCCTGTTTTCAGCAGATCCTCGACGATGTCATCCGAGCTGAGAACCTGCGCGACACATTTGCATACGTCGACGACGTGACCATCTGTGGTCGCACCAGAGAAGAACATGACAGGAACCTGGAGCGCTTCATCGACGCTGCAAAGAAGTTCTCGCTGACGATCAATCAAGAGAAGAGTCAGTATGGCAAGACATCCGTCAGGATCCTGGGGCATGTGGTGGAGAACCGGACGATTCGACCTGATCCAGAGCGACTTCGAGCCTTGATGGAGCTGCCGGTGCCCGAGGACGCGAAGGCACTGAAGCGAGCTGTAGGCATGCTCTCACACTACTCCAAGTGGGTGTCGTCCTTCTCCGAGAAGCTCCGGCCGCTGATCGACGGCGACTGCTTTCCCCTGTCGCCTGACGCGGTCGCGGCGTACCAGCGGTTGAAGGAAGACATCGGTGCTGCTACCATGTCAGCGATTGACGACTACGCTACCTTTGTGGTAGAGACGGACGCGTCTGATAATGCGATCGCAGCCACTCTTACTCAGAACGACAAGCCGGTCGCCTTCTTCTCGCGAACGTTAAACCCATCAGAACGCAAACAGGCATCCGTTGAGAAGGAGGCTGCAGCCATAGTCGAGTCAATTCGAAAGTGGCGGCATCTTCTGATTGGACGCCACTTCAAGCTCATCACAGATCAACGCTCGGTCTCCTTCATGTTCGACCGCGCGAGCAAAGGACGCATCAAGAACGACAAGATACTGCGTTGGCGTCTCGAGCTGGCGTGCATGAGCTTTGAGATCGTGTATCGTCCGGGGAAGTTCAACACAGTTCCCGACATGCTATCCAGGGCTGTCTGTGGCGCAACCGCCACGGACACTGAAGATCTCATCCGATCTCTCCATGGACAACTCTGCCACCCTGGTGTAACGCGGTTGTGGCACTACCTCCGGGCGCGGAATGTGGCTTGTTCGGTGGATGATGTAAGGCGAGTCGTAACGCAGTGTAGAACCTGTGCACAGCACAAACCACGATTCGTCCATACCTCTAACACGCTTGTCAAGGCGACTAGGGTGTTTGAGCGATTGAGCGTTGACTTCAAGGGTCCCCTGCCATCAAACACTCAAAGAGCGTACATGTTTGTCGTGGTAGATGAATTCTCTCGCTTCCCGTTCGCTTTTCCTACTGCCGATACGTCTGCGGATTCGGCGATACAGTGTATGATGTCTCTGTTCACTATGTTTGGCACACCGGAGTTTGTACATTCCGATCAGGGCACCGCCTTCACGTCCTCTCGATTTAAGCAGTTTCTCCTACAGAACAGCATCGCCCAGAGCTTCTGTTCGGCATACAATGCCCCAGGCAACGGTCAAACCGAGCGTTACAACGGCATCATCTGGAAGTCTGTGTGCATGGCCTGTCACTCTGACAGCATCGACTTGAAAAACTGGGAAACCGTCCTCCCCCGGGCTCTGCACAGCGTTCGTTCGTTGCTATGCACAGCCACGAACCAGACGCCTCATGAACGATTCTTCAAACATCCTCGAAGGTCAATCAATGGTCAAGCTCTCCCTTCTTGGCTGGTGACATCAGACAGGGTACTGCTCCGTCGGTTCAACCGCGCCAGCAAGTACGAGCCTCTGGTGGATGAGGTCGATTTTCTGCACGTTACTCCCACGTACGCCAAGGTCCGACTGCCGAGTGGTCGTGAGCCGACTGTCTCTATCCGTCATCTCTCGCCCATGGGAGGTGAGAGCGCTGGGGAGCACTGCCAGATGGGTGATCATCGATCGAGTGACACAGACGTGCCTCCTATTGACTCGCCCTGTGACCCTGTGTGTCCCGCTGAGCGTGGCGACTCGTCTGATGCTGTGTCCGTCTCTGCACCGGATGTTCATGATGTACCTCCCGAGATCTCGCCTGATTGTCCTGATACCACTGTAACGAATTTGGATCGGCCTCTGCGAAGGTCAACCAGGGTGAAGCAGGTGCCTCTTCGATTAATGGACTATCAGATGTGTAAGCCGTGACAGGCGAGCGTTTTGACATGGTGTGGCGAGGAGTTTGTCTTTGTGTTAGTGTTGCTGAGCGTAGTTTTGGCACGCTCAGTCTTGAGGGACGGTGAATGTTGTATATTTATGTTGTTGCATGTGCAGGCTGTGGCATGGTGTTGCATGTGCTTTGCATGGTTTATGAGCCTAATGCTTGGTTCCCTGTTTTCCAGCAATGTTGTGAATAAAAGCCTTCATTGAGGTTCATCGTTCATTACATCAACAAAAAAGAAAAAAATATTCAAAAAAGTGCGGTATTCCGCCTCAAAGTTATGGGGGCACCACCCCCACGGCCCCAGAGTTGGGGGACATGCTGCCCCCACTGCCCCCGGGCCCGGTTCCCGCGCCCCTGCTTTGAGGACGACGCACTGAGTGGTTTGTCTAACATGCATATTTGTCACATGTTGCCGATCGCGTCCCAGAGGCGATTTTACAGGGGTGAAGTCAGTTGCAGAAAGGGGGGGCCAAATACAGAGGCGGATCCAGCCCAGAGGTTTGGGGGGGGGCAAACCATAAAAATTTATCGATTCTTTCCATGCATCGTCCATAGGCGTAATGTTAAAATCATGCCGTTTGGGGGGGGGGGGCAAATGCCCATTTTGCCCCCCCCTGGATCCACCACTGGCCAAATAAATCCCATTTTACCCCCCCCCCCCCTAAACCTGATTTTGGCCCGGTTGCCCCCCCCCCCCGTCTCCCTTTGGATCCGCCAGTGACGGATCGTAATTCGTACGCAGCGTCATTCGAGTGGTGACGTGGGTAGGTATGCCTTAGCTCCCAGCGCGCTGCAGCGCGCGCAGTGCAGCGTCGGGCGGTGAAACAGGGCCCGGGCTCAAAGGCTTCTTCGCTCCTCTTGGCCACGGTATATTTATTTTTATTATTACTGTATGTATGTATTTGTATGTATGTATTACTATATGTATTTTACCCCGTTCGCCAATGGGATAACGACCGCGTATATTCGGATGCAGTATGAGTAGAGCATGGGTCCCGAAAAATTCTTCAGAAACTAGAGAAATTCTCGCGGCCACCGGCATTTAGGCGATCTGCTCGTGCTTTTGTCACTGGAGCGCTTCTTTCACGGAGATTGCGCCGGCCGCCTGCAACGGACGAAAAATACACGGCTTTGCAATCCGGCTGATCGTGGGAAAATACAGCCGGAGGTCTCGGCTCTATGCAGGTATACCACCGGGAGAGATGTATTTATTGTTTAGTATATACCACTGGCTCGATGTATAGCCTGCAAGTTGGCTTTGGTGCAAACATGTCAAACAGGGTATAGGGCGGATCGATGTAAGCAAATCAGACGTTCAATTGACAATTTCCGATTCTTATTCGATAATTACGACCAATTATATTTTATTTTGGGAAGTGTTATTGGGACCGGAGCAATAAAATCTCATTTTCCCCTGTCTCCTTACCTATCTCCCAAACCCCTTGCTCACGATCATCTTTCAGAGCCTATTTTAAGGGAATTTGACTGGGGGGGCAACCTGGAAAATTGTCTTTAATAATCCAGTTCCGTAGCCTGGGCTGAGACGAGCATAAATCAGGAGCTTTTACAGCCCAACGATCACCCTAGGCAAAGATATTCTATTTCTCGTCCCGAAAAAGGTGTCTTGCGTTGAGGATGTGTGCCTTGCATATATTTGCATCCAGTATGAAAAGAGCATGGGTACCGAAAATTCTTCAGAAACTAGAGAAATTATCTACGAGAACTCTAGAGAAATTCTCGTACTGATCAATAAGGACATTCAGCAGCAGCAGATCGCCCAAATGCCGGTGGCCGCGATCATTTCTCTAGTTTCTGAAGAATTTTCGGGACCCATGCTCTTTTCATACTGGATCGCCTGTGCCTTACAGAAACTGAAAAGTTCTTCTTATATCAAAATATAGAAAATAATCTTTTGTTATAAATAGGTTTTATTTTCTTTGCTGATCATTTTGAACATAAAAAATCATAAATCCATTGCAAAAAA